CCACTTTAAGCCTGGAGGACTTCAACTCCCAGAATTCCCCAGCCAGCAAAGCTGGCTGGGGAATTCTGGGAGTTGAAGTCCTCCAGGCTTAACGTTACCAAGGTTGGACACCCCTGGTGTAGGGTCTCCTGCTTGTCCCACCATCCGTTCAGAGCAGAAGACGCTTCTCAGATGAGAAGTAAAATGTCTTCAAAGAAAAACCAGAAAGTCCAGTTGCCTCTTGGAGGAAAAAGAAAAGAAAAAAGCACCTTTAGGAAAGGAAGTAGCTATTTTAAACAGTTGCGTTGGATGCGTTTCAGCACCTGGTAAATCTTGTTTGTTAACCCTGATGCTCCCAGACGTCAGGCACATCCTGGCTTATTCGTGCAGTGGCTCATTGGTTGTCTGCTGCAATTTATTTCACCGTGCTTCTGTTCTCGTTTTTTGTTGGCTAGACTCTCAGCGGTCTCATCTCTCTTCCTTCACCATGAAGCTGAAGGACAAGTTCCACTCGCCCAAAATAAAAAGGACGCCGTCCAAGAAAGGAAAACAGCCTGACGTCGTGGTGAAATCCCCCGAGAAGGTAGTCAACAAGGTGAGTTAGTTGAGGGGTCTTCTACTCAACGACGTATTATTGAGCCTGGGAATACGGTGGTAAGTCGTGGCCGCCATTAAACAGATCATCCCGTGACCCCCGCCTGACTTTATGACCTCTTTTGCAGCATGCCACTGTCATTAAGCAAACACGGCGGCCGTTAAGCGAACGTTAAAACCTTTAGCTTCTCATCTGAGAAGCTTCTTCGGTTCTGACTGAACGGTGGAGGATGGAAGGATTTATTGCCGCCATCTAGTCATTCGCGCTCTTTTTGAGAGTCGCTGAGGCCACTTGGAGGTTTATCTCTGCCCTCAGAGCAGCCTCAACGACCCTCAGAAAGAGCACTAACAACCAGATGACTGCAAGGGATACAGATCTTTCCATTCTCCACTGTTCAGCCAGAACCGAAGAAGCTTCTTGGGTGAGAAGCGAAATATATTCAAAGAGGAAACAAAAGAAAGCCAAATTGCCTTTTGAAAAAGCACCCGAGGGATTTACATCGTCGTATCAGTGGTTGAATGGGAGTGGTGCGGTGTGCCTAGAGGTGGAGCTCTCGCCTCACAATCAGGAGGCTGTGAGTTCAATCCTAGGTAGAGGCGAGGCAGGTATTTCTCTCTCTCAGCACAATGAGAACCTATCTGCTGAACAAAACTCCGCGTTGGCGACAGGGAGGGCATCCGGCCATTAAAACACTCTGCTAGCTCCATTCAGCTTCATGTTGTTATTTGAGGCTATTGTCTGTTTCTTCGTGGCTGATCCAAGTGTGCTGCTTTTCATGGATAAGGGAGTCCTGGTTGAAAGAAAATTTAACAGCCAAGAGAAGATAAAATTCTAAAATTGCTTTCTTCCTCATTGAACGAAGCCCATCCGAAACGTCACAGCCATTTTCAAGGTGATCAAATGATTAAATGGCAAGCCGGGGTTGGGAAGTCACGCCAGTGACTGCACGCCATGCGTTTTATTTTAATTAAATTCAGACATAAATCAGAGGAGGTCCGTTGGGAGGCGGTCCTGGCCCTCCCCATGTTCTGATGGACCCGGCCAGTCGAAACCCTGCTGGAGAAGGGGGCCGTTTGCCAAACGGATTTTATTTACAAAGCAAGCATTTCTCTCAAGCTGTTTTTCTTTTTTTCTGTTTGAAAGATCGGTCTCAGAGGAGTTGGAAACCTAATCCATTTTAACAACCTGATTTGTCTCTTGAATCAGTGGGAGGAGATGCTACTGAGATGGTTAACAACAAGTCAGGGTGTCAGGTTGTTAGTGCGGGGAAAAAGCTGCAAAGATGCTTAACCACACAGTAATTTTCTTGCATTTGTTTTCAGAACCCTGGCCTGACTCAATGTTTTTTTTAATTGCTTTTTATTGAACTTTATTGAAGGGATCTAGATGCCCTAATGGATCACCATAAGTATGAGCCCGCAGTGTGCTGCAGCTGCCCCAAAAGCCAACACAATCCTGGGCGTCCAGTTTGGGTTACTACAATACAAAAAAAGACAGGAAAAAAGGGGTCCAAAGAAGAGCAACTTCAGATGATAAAATCTCTGGAGGTGTTCTGACCCGCCTCCTTTTCCAACAAATCAAACACAATCCAAAAGGAACAGAAACCTTGTAATGCTTTTGCAAAACTCCAACACTGGAAGTTTTTAAGAAGAGATTGGACCAACCTTATGTCTGAAATGCCGTAGGGTTTCCTGGCTGAGCAGGCTGGGGGAAGGAGAAGAAGGAGGGAAGAAGTGAAGAGGAAAAGGGAGAGAGAGAGAGAGAAAAAGGAACGACTTCCAACTTCCAACTCCACTTTCCAGCTCAACCCACATCTGCTTGTCCTGATGCTGCCCCTCACGGAGTCCAGATGGGGCATTTCGTGGCATTTGTGTGATGGCCGTTTCTTAACGCATGACCGGCTGGAGAGTTTTGCCAGAGGGAAGCGGCGTTCTTGGAAATTCAATGCAGCGGACGCAGAGCTGCGGCGGCTCTCTCTCTCTCCAGTTTCTCACGTCGAGATGGAGCCATGCAGAAAACCACCAGAACAGCCTCCGTTTGCAGAGGGTCCTTGACTTACAACCATTCGTTTAGTGACCAAAATTACAAGGGCAATGGAGGGGGAAGCTGCTCTTCACACTTAATGACCAGGATAGCATCCCAACAAGATTTGGATTCTGGTTCATATTTATGACAGCCACAATGTCCCTGTGTGTGTGTGTGTGTGAGAGAGAGAGAGAGAAACCAGAGAAATCACTTAACAACAGTGTGTGACTAACTTAACAACTGCAGGGATGCCCTTAACAACAGTGGCACAGAAAGTCGCAAAATGAGGCAAAACCTCACTTAGCAACAGAAATTTTGGGCTCCGCTGTGTTCGTACAGGGTCGGAAGTACGAGCCCTTCTCAGGATTTGGGGAAGAAATGTGCTTTTCCAACTTGCAAGATTCTGTTCACGTACAGTGACCTGAAAATAAAGTAGAATTAGGCATCCAGTCATGCTTCCTGCCCAGTCTACCTCACAAGGCTGGCTGGAGAGGAAATGGCTTTCGTCAGCCTTTTTTTCACACCCAAATATTTCTTGGTTGAACGTGGGGCCAGAAGCCAGATCATTCTTTGCCGTTTCCTCCCTCCCTCCTCCCTAGACTGGGGTCGTTCTAGGACACGCAAGTGCCCTTCTCTCCCAGCCAGATAGGTGCCTCTGGAACAAAAGGCACCAAATTTGCACAGTCGGTCTTGTATTATTTTCACAGGTGCAACCTCTTTCTTCACCTGAAAAACAGTGTGCAAGGAGGGTGCAGGTCACACTACGAACCACTGATCTACTGGGAAAATGAACTGGGTGTTGTGTCTTCAGTTAAAAACACCACACTAGCGGATTGCAAATTGTTCCGAATTTGGATCTCTTTGATTGGAAAGGGTCTGTTTTCTTTGCAAAACTGTTTCTGGAAGTCTCAGTGGAGGTTCTCAGTCATCCAGGTCATGGTTGTCTGAAAGGTGCTTTTTCAAAAGGCCTCTGGACTTTGCTTTTCCTTGGAGACCTTTCGCTTCTCGTCCAAGAAGCTTCAGTTCTCACTGAATGGTGGAGGATGTAAGGATTTATATTGCTTGCAATCCTCTGGTCGTTAGTGCTGTTTCCGTGAGGCCACTCGGAGGTTTATCTGTGCCCTCCAGTGGCCTGAATAGTGCAAATGGGTGTGGGACGTTCTTGGTGTCAACTCGTAAATCATTCCTATGCCTGTTTTCGAGTTGCCATAAGAAGGAAGGGGGGAAGGCTGATGAAGGCCAGAAGCACATTCCACACTTATCTTGTGGAGATTGTAGCCTCGGCTACTGGCTCTTCTGCCTGGGAAAATCCTTCATTGGAGAATGTGATTGATGACACCCAGCCCGTGTGAATGTGTTTGGTTGGAGAATCTGATTTATGACACACCAGGGGGCTGGAGGGAAACAGGGTCATAGGGGATAGTAAATTATGTGTCTCAGAGTTAGCTTCATACCGGTTATGTTGCCCCTAATAAATCTTTTGGATTCTTTTGAAGCTGGGCTCGAGGCTCATGATTTAATTAGGGCAATCATCGGAACCCTGACACTTGGATCTGCTGAGAGGGTTGTGTTGTAAACAGGAGGTAGGTGGGAGTCGTATGCCTCCCCTTCTGTTGAGAGAGGGTTGTTAAACGGTCCTCTCTGTCCAAAATGTGTTTCTAGAAGTGGTTTAACATCAGAAATGGTATATTGATCTTTTGGGAATGGTGAGCCCAAAGCTGCTATAGTTCAGGAACTGTTTTTGTGGGTTCAGAATGGGGCATTTAGAATTTAGAACCATTTGACTTCCAAATGGATAGATATAATTAATGGGAAGGTGGGTGGGTGGATGGATAAGTAGAGCGGATGGATGGATGCATGGAATGGAGAGGTAGATAAAGGATGGCTGGATAGGTGAAGAGAGCTTATGCAACGGAGACAAATTTCTTGTATATCCAGTCCCACTTGGCCAATAAAGAATTCTGTCCTATTCTATGAATAGATCTATAAAATGAATGGGTAGATGATGGATCGATGGAATGGATCGATGGATTGACAGAATGGACGGATGGATTAATAAGACAGACTGAATGAAGATGGATCGACGGATGGATGAACAGAATGGATGGATGGTTGGGGAAGAATTTGCCTGTCTTTTAACTATCCAGGCCAATAGGAAGCTTTGTAAAAGGGGTCTTTCTGTCTCAGAACTTAAGTTGGCTGGAGGAGAAGGAGAAGGACGTAGTGAGTGCCCTGCGCTACTTTAAGACCATTGTGGACAAAATGGCCATTGATAACAAGGTGTTGGAGATGTTGCCAGGATCAGCCAGCAAAGTTCTGGAAGCCATCTTGCCTCTGGTTCAGACGGACCCACGGATTCAGCAGAGGTGAGTCAGGACGCAAGGGGCTGAGTAAGTTGGATTGCGAGTTGGGTCCTAATTGGGCAGTCCGTCCTTTCCCTCAACGTCTGCAACGGAGATTGAGGTGCTCATTGTGCAGCTTGGATGGAGAATTTGGTAGCTGTTGGGCAGTCCCTTCCTCAAACGATTAGGATGAATGATTGAGGGAGCTCGGTGCACCTATCTAGCCTATCGAAGAAAACAATTAGGAGAAATATGATAATTGAGGGACTGTCAAATAGAAGAAGGGGTTTACTTATTCTCTAAAGATCCTGGCTGGAGAATTCTGGGAGTCGAAGTCCACAAGTCTTAAAGTTGTCCAGGTTTGGAGACCACTGGAATAAACTAAATGGTACGCCAAAAAAAAGAGAGAGAATGGCCTTTATGAAGGAAGGAATGTTTCGTTGCAGCGCCTTGCTGACTTCTGACAATTCTTTACTTAAGGCCGGACTCTCCCCGCCTCTTCTTCCTTCTGACCTCTTCTTCTTCTTCCCACTTCTGCAGTTCTGCCATCACTTCCTGTTACAGCCGCGTGTATCAGAGCTTGGGAAATTTAATCCGATGGTCCGATCAAGTGATGCTTGAAGGCATCAACGCTGAAGACAAAGAAGTGGTGAATACAGTTAAGGGGGTTATCAAGGCAGTTCTGGATGGAGTTAAGGTATGGGTCTTGCTTAAAACCCCTTTTATTTAGGCTATAAAGGGAATTCCTCTCCAGCAAAGTCTCGGCCAATGGTCTTTCATGAGATTTCACAGACCTTTATCAGGCTTGGAGAGTTGCCAGGCCAATATCTTCCAAACACCACACTATAGCAGCAAGAAGTCAGGAACTTCACCCTCGTGAATCAAACTAATTGTCTCCTGCAAAGCCCACTCCCCTTTCGCTCCTCTTTATTCCCTCTGGGAGGGGCCATTCACCGTCCACCTATGGTTTTACTCCCGAGTCGACCCTTGTTCCTCAGCTGTTCCCTTCGTCTGGCAGCTCTGCGCATGTGCACACTGGGAACAGGCTCCAGCTGTTCTTCTGCCTCACTGATCTCCAACTCTGAAGGCAGCTGATAACTGTCGGACGGCCCTGGCCCCATCTCTGCCTCCGATGCAGAGCCCTCGTCAGAGCCTTCCCCAGACTCCAGGACTGGCCCATGTCCCTCCCCAACCTCCTCACTGTCCGAGTCTGCTGCCAGCTCCACTGGCGGGCAACAACACGCCCCATGAACCCCTTGTAGAGTTAGTGTGTAAGAACCAACAAAGGCAATAAAGGGTCTGAAGGCCAAATTGTATGATGAATGGTTGAGGGGAGCAGCCATAAAAATTAATGCAATCCTGGGTTGTATAAACAGAAGCATAGGATCAAGATCACGTGAAGTATTAGTGCCGCTTTACAAAACCCTAGTAAGGCCACACCTGGAATACACTGCAACCAGTTTTGCTCACCACAAATTACAAAAAAAGATGTTGAGACTTTGGAAAACGTTCTGAGAAGAGTAACTAAGATGATCAAAGGCCTGGAGACTAAACCACAGGAAAAATGGCTGCGTGATTTGGCTCTGGCTAGTCTCAAGAAAAGAGGAATTGGGGTTGACTTGTGTTCTGTTGATAACTAGGAGCTGGTGAAGCTCACAATTGAGAAGCAGGAGCACCCATCTCCCACCAGCCCTGTCAAGCCCACCTTACCTGTGTCTACAGAAGACAGGTGAGTGGACAAAAAGTTTAGAGATCTTCCTTTCCAAGAGTTGGGGCTGTTGTGAGGGCCTGGAGCTCCAGGGATACAACCTCCTCGTGGCCGGTTTCACAAAAGGGAGGCATCAGTCAGTCTGAAGTGTCTGGAAACTAGCTCTCCTACCTCTTATTTTCTTTGATGTCTGTCTGTTTCTGTGTCTGTTATCCATCTATCCATCCATCTGTCGTGTCTATTGATCTAGCAATATCTCCTGTATCTGTCCTCTATCTCTCCATTTATATCGTTTCTCTATGTCTCTATTCCTGCCTGTCTACTTAAATCTATTATCCAACCATCTAATTATCATCCAGTTATCCATCCTAATATTTGTATCCATCCATCCACCCACCCACCCACCTATGTTTATTTGTTTATTTGTTTATCTGTTTATCCATGTCTTCTAGCTCACTCTTTCAATATCTCCACCCACCCATCCATCCATCCATCCATCCATCCATCCATCCATGTCTTTCATCTCTCTCTCTCTTCTCTCTCTCCATCATCTCTCTCTCTCCATCTATTTATATTCCCTCTCCATCTCCTTCCATATACCACGTCGTTCACTGCATGCTCTCTTTCTCTTCTATCCATCCATCCATCCATGCCTTCCAGTTTTCACTTTGTCTCTTCTGTCTCCGTCCATCTGTCCATCCATCCATGCCTTCCAGTGTGCAGTTTCTTTCTATCTCTCTCCATCCCTCCATGTTTTCTAGTGTGTGCACTCTCTCTTCTGTACCTACCTCCATCCATGCCATCTACCTATCACCATCTATCCATCCATCCATTTCTTACGTATGTATCATGTCTTCTATCTCATACTCCATCTCCCTCCCTCCCTTCTCTTCCCTCCTTCCTCTGTCCCTCCCTCCCCCACATTCCCATTTCCTTCCCTCCTTCCTCTGTCCCTCCCTCCCACATAGCGTATTATCTTATCCCTTCCTTCTCTCTCCTCATAGTGTATTATCTCCCCCTCTCCAGCCAGTTGGAGCTTCCCTTGACGGATCGGGAGATGGAGATCCTCAACAAGACGGCCGGGAAGACGCCGACCGCAGAAGTGCCGGCTGATGACGCAGACGAAGAGGTCGCCCCACCCAAACCGCCCCTTCCTTGCATCCGAGTGGCTGAAAACAGGTGAATGCACCAACCTGGGGGGAACTGGGTCAGAACATTTCACTTTAACATCAGTATTCTCAATTTTCCTTCGTCTTGTGCAGCCTTCCTCCAGCTCTGCCTCCTAAGAAACGCCAGTCGGTACCCTCCCCTACACGAGTGGCCATCGTAGCCCCCATGAGCCGAGCAACCAGTGGCTCCAGTTTACCCATTGGGATCAACAAACAGGTAAAGTACCAGCCCTGTCTGACCCAGAAGCTATCCAGATAGGATGGGGTGTCCCTTTAAAACCTCCTGATCACAGGCGGTCCTTAACTTACAGTTGATTTAGTGACCGTCCGTGCAGCAACACTGGAAAAAAAATGACTTACGGCCATTTTTCACGTTGCAACATCCGCATGGCCACAGGATCCAAATTTGGACACTTGGCAAGTGGCTCATATTTATGACGGTCGCAACGTTCCCGGGGGGGGGAGTTGGTTGGGTCAGGCGATCCTCCTTTTGCAACCTTCACTGCAGGGATTCACTTAACAAGTTGCAAGGAAGGTTGTGAAATGGGGCAAAACTCACCCGTCCACCTTCTTGCTTGGCACAGAAATTTCTGGGGGCTCCGTTGCGGTTGTAAGTCAAGGACTCTACTTGTACAGAATTCCGTCCAAATTTAAGATCATTTCCCTTCCTGGATTCAGAGACTTAAAATGTACCTGTCCGTTTCCCCTGTTCTGAAAGAGGCGGTTGAAGAGTTTTCGCCAGGGCAGCCATCTTGTTTAATTCCAGGATGGGTTCTTTATAAAGACACAGGCCATGCTGACATGTTCACTCCTAATAAATCCTTGGCTTGAGGCTCGTGGTTTAATTAGGGCAACAGTTGACTCTGCCTATTGTACCGCTTCTCCTTCCCACCCACAGGAGTTTGAAAACGATGGCTACCCCCAACGGAGGCTGTCGGGGGGCAGCCAGTCCTACGGAGGGGAATCTCCCCGCCTCTCGCCCTACAGCAGCATGGGGAAGCTAAGCAAGTCGGACGAGCAGCTGTCCTCCTTGGATTGCGACAGCGGGCAGTGCTCGCACAACACAAGCTGTGAAACGTTAGGTAAGGAGGTGGGGAGTCTGCTGGGCTGCTGAGGGGCTCAGCATGGGGCTGCCCTAGGCTGAGAGGTGCGATCACCGGTTCAACTCCCATCCGTCACGAGTATCAGGTCCACATGGGAAGGTCCAGTGAAACTGATTTATGGCTAAACAGCTTGGGCCCAAGACAATTCTCAACTAATGGTCAGCACCTCGTTAGAGTTAGATGAGGATCCACAAGGGGCAGTGGCTCTTCCTTCCCAAGGGCCGGCCCATAGATTTCCACTGCTCTCCTCTCCTCTCTGCCTTCTGCGCATCAGGCACTGGGCCCAGCTGTTCCTCCTCTTCCTCATCAGCCACCTCCAGACCTGGGGGCTGTTGATTCTCCACCTGAGGGCTGATGGACCGCCCAGGCTCTGCCTCCGTCTCTCTCTCTCTGCCAGCTCCATTCCCTCTTCTCCTCAGAGCTCTGAGGTTGCCTTGATGCTGGCCGTGACTCCCATCCCAGATCCTCCTCCTCCTCTGATTTGGCTGCCACAGGGGCCGGTGGCCAACAGGCCACAACCCACACCGAATACAGCTCAGAGTTTCTCTTTTTAAAGAAAAGATGGAGAAAAACTGTCCCAGGTTCAATCCATCCACCAGCTGAGCCTTTCAATCTTCATTGTGTTGTGGAAATGGTGTGTGTGTGTGCGCGCGCCAGTATATGTATATGAACATGGACCAGTCCTGGAGTCTGGGGAAGGCTCTGACGAGGGCTCTGTGTCGGA